TTGAGGACCATGAAATATTACCAAAAGCGACCAAATGCTGAGCCAAGAAGTGAGCCTCAATCACTTTCCGAGGGTTGAGATCACGTGGAGCATGTCTCTGACTAGAGCGGAATTAAGCCAGGAATTCACAAGAGAAAGAAAATCAGAAAGATTCCAACTGCTTTTAAGTGGTATCATATAAGTCAAATTAGCACAGAGGTCAAAAAAGAAACCAGATTAAAATTAGAGAATATTTTGAATTGAATGATAATGAAAACATAACATCGAGAATTATGAGATTGAGTTAAGCCAAATTTGGAGGGCAATGTGTCTAGCTTTAAATGCAAAAATCCGAAGGCTGAGAAACACTGATCCACCTATTCATCTTAAGAAGTTAGAAAAAGAGCAAATGAAAGAGGAAAAATAAAGAGAAACAGTCAGTGACTCAGAATGGGTAACAGCAAACACCAAACAAGAAGTTGGTCTCTTGAATGATAACCTCCTTCAAGAGGAAAGCAGGGAGACTCTAAGGACCACCCACAGGGATGAAGAAGGGGAGAGTGATCCTCAGATCCGACCAAGTTAAAAACAGAAAAAAGGTCGTTTGAAAAACTTCATGCCAAGAAATTATAAAATTTAAATGAAATGGGAGCAAATTCCTTGACAAACACAGCTTTCAACATCTAATCCAAGAAGGAAAAGACTATTGAATATTTTGTATCTATTAAAGAAGTGGAATCTAATTGAAAATATTCCAACAGAACTCCACCGATCAATCCCTCCCAACACTGAAGGAAGAGGCGAAGGCACCTTATGCAAACTCTTCCAGAGAATAACAAACGAGGGCCCAGTCTCCACGTGGTGCATGATGTCAGCATGATCCTAACAAGGAAATCTGACAGGGGTATTACAAGAAAGGGAAACTGCCATCCAAACTCTCAGGAATATAGACACAAAACCCTAACTAAATATGTGAATTATGTTCAGCTACATAGGAAGAATATAACATACACACAAGTGGGATTTATTCCAGGAAATCAAGCTGGTCTCACCTTAGAAAATCAATCAATATAACTGACCACATTAACAGAAATAGGACAAAAATCACCCATGGCAGACAACATGTGATAAAACTCAATACCCACACATAGCAGAAATTCCTTAGAAACCACTAATAAAATAGAACATCCCTAATCTGAGAAAGAGTGTCTACAATTAACCGATAGGAAACATAAAGCTCCCTGGTGAGTTACCGAAGACTTTCTCCACGAGATCAGAAACAAGGCCAGATGACATTGTCACAGCTTCTAGTCAATCATGAACTAGAGAGCCATCCAGTGTCTTAAGGCAAGAAAAAAAAGGGGGTACACAAACCAGAAAGATAGAAAACTGTCATTATTTACTGGCATGCATTTTTCTTTTCCTTTTATATGACAGGACTTCTAAACGTCCATTTTCCATGCAGACAATTTCTGAAACTTGCTATGTTTCCCCTAGTTGTCGTCAGGACAGCCTGGGCGCTGGGTTAACGGGAAGTTTATTCACGCTAGTGGTGTCTCACTACAGCAGTGACAGTGTCACCTGAGGTCTCACCCACTGCAAGGCGACGGCACCTGTGCCAGGGGCTCTCCTCTGCGGCAGTCAGGCCGCTGCATCCTTTAGGAGCACACTGCTGGGCCTCTCCAGGTTGCTCACATGCCCACCCATGCTTGACAAGGGCACTCCCCGCTCCCGACTACCAGCAAGACCAGGCCAGACCCACCTGTTGTGGGCACCACTCCCACTTTAGTGTGGGTAATCTGGCTCACTCTTTCTTGCTTATACACAGACAGAAATAAATACAAAACTTACACTTCATAAATAGACATATGTTAACAGAAGAAATTAGACTCCTATTGACATTAACAGTCCCCCACTTATAAAGATAGTTGATGAAATAAACATATACTAAAATGTAAGCTCCCTGAAGACAGTGACTTTGTTTGGTTCTCTGCTGTCTCCGCCACCTCTTAACCTTCTGCCCTTCCTTTCTGTCTACACTGCTACAGTGAGCTCAACCAGTACCATGACTTCAGTGCCAACCACACGCTGACAACCCCTAGATTTCTTAGTCACATCCCTCACTTACCTCCAAACTCCAAACTCATTATCAATAACTACCTGCTCAACATCTCCTCTTGGGTATAATTAAGCATCTCAAACTCATCACGTCCAACAACAAAGTCTTGACGTTTCCCTGGAACCCCTACCTCTTGCGTCTTCCCAGGATCTCCCAATTCCAACTCCAGAGTTCTGGTTCCTGAGGCCCAAAACCTAGCAATCAGCTTCCTTCTTTCTCTCACTTCCCAATACAAAGTTTCAACAGATTCTGTGGGTTCCATCCACAATCTGACCACTTTCCGAAACTTCCACGATGACCACCCTTGTCCAAGTTAATATTATCTCTCAACCTGTACTCCTTTAATGGCCCACTAACTAATCTCCCTGCTCCCACCCATGCCCCTATTCAATCTAATCTCCAATTAGAAACCAGGACATCCCCATTACAAAGTATGTCACACAGAACGTCCCACAGAGGACAGCCAGGAGGCCTTCACGGTCTCTCTCTTACGACCTTGTCCCCTCCCTCCCTCCCTCTGCTCCAGCCACAGCAGCCTCCTTCCCAGGTCTTGAATGTGCCAGAAACGCTGAGCCTCACCTCTGTCCCTGGGCCTCTTCCCCCACGTCCCCACTGGCTCCCCTCACCTCCTGCAGCTCTTGGCTCACACATCACCTCCCCCATGAGGCCTCCCAGCGATGACCAAGACTTTGTAAATTCTACTCCCCTGCCTCACAACGGCCCTGCCTGCCTTCTTCTGGGAATTTAACTTTCTCCACAGCACCTGTCACCATCATTTAACATCTTCCCTGTTTTACTTTCTGTTTCTTTTCCATTTCCTTCCACTAGGATGTAAGCTCCATGAGGGCAGGGGTTCTTGTCCACCCTATGCATTGCTCTGTCTCCAGTGCCTAGGACAGGTCCGGCACCTAATAGGCCACTTTCCCCACTCGCGTCACAGCTCTGTACCAAATGTACTACTGCTTACATTAAAAAGATGAAATCCCTTTTGTACATAAGTTTATTTTAAAAGGAAACTTTGTATCAGTAGTACAAGTGGAAAGCCAGCACCATTCATTGTAAACAACAGAGCATAAGAAAAAACTACAAAAACAAAGCTACGACACTAAATTCCACCCACAGACCAGTGACTGCAAGACCTTGGAGCTTGCCGCCTGCTGCCTCCTTGTTTAAAAGTAAGATCATCAGGAGTAATAGAGACGTTCAACACATCTTATCAGTAAATCAATACTCTGACGTAAAGAAGAATTTTTTAAAAATTTAAAAAGGTAAAACTTTCTCACTAGGCAATTTACTTATCTATTTGTTTTCAGATTCTCTGTCTGTACCACTTTAGAGCCCCCAGCACCAGTGGTGGGGATAACACACCACACGGCTGAGGCTACGGGTGCCCTGTGGGGCGTGATGAAGGAGGAGAAGAAGACACAGAAGCCAGAGCATCCCTAGTGCACGGTCTGGACTCGACCGGAGGTAACGGGAGCCATGGAGGGGCTGGAGGCACGGGACCCGCACTCTCGGGTCTGCATTAGCACGGCTGCTTCTGCATTCCGGAAGAGGGGCTGGAGGGAGAGACTGGACATGGAGACCATGGAGGAAGCTGCAGGACACAAGCAAGTAAGATGGAGGTGGCCTGCACAGGGACAGGAGCTGTGACGACAGAAGAAAGCAAAGCCACCGGGAGATGTCTCAGGAGGACCTAGTGAGTTGTTAGATGCAGAGTGGGAAGCTGACCCCGTGCAGGCTTTCTGGTCTCTGCAAAGCAGCAAACAGGGCCCCAGTTGCAGGGAGGAGTCGGCTCAGCACCCAGACACTGACGGAGCCATGGACCCTCACGACTCCAGGCAAACAGAGAAAGCGAAACTACACATGCCCTCACACACGCACAAGGGTAGAAAGAAACAGGCACGAATGTAGGTACCGCTGAGGGATATCTTTACGGTTTCATGTATTTCCCAACATTTCTACACTGAATAAAATCATTTTGAAATCAACCAAAAAAATTTAAGAAAAGACGCCAAGTATCTCAAGTAAGAAAGAAAGCCGTGGGATATACTCGGACATCCAACTGGCAATTCCAGCCGTTGGCAAGCATCCAATCAGAGAATTAGAGTAATGCAGGAATATTTAACTAAGATTTCAACTTATTTAAATGCTGACTGCTTAGCTTGGAGGTCTGATTTAGATCCAACCATTTCACACATTTCCCAATAACAAACCAACCACACCTGATGTGGAAACGGATCAGGTTCTTACTAACCCACTGACACCAGGCTTCTCTGAGAAGGCACTCATGCACCTGCTAGGTTCCAAAACAGAACTGACAGTGTACTCTAAGTTCATGGAATCTTGCCTGAAATGATTCTCCAAACCATTCTGAAAACAAATAACTCACCACAAAGGTATGGAAATCAGCTAAGAAGATCAATACAACAGTCTGACCCTCCCAACCTCTGCCCTCGCTCCTGCCCGTGCTCTCCTTGCCCGCCCTGCACTCTCCCATCCACCGAGGACCTTCTGCAGAACACACGTCTTCATCATTTATGGACAGACGTCCCATGGAGAGTGAGGCAACACCAGAAATAAAACTTGACATTAGAGAAACGTAAATAAAAACTAAAGAACAGAGAACGTTTTTGTATCAAGATAACAAGCTGACAAAGAGCACCGTCTGCAACACATGCTGCCCAGAAGAGCAGCCCACTGCGTGGGGCCCTGCGTACGAAGAATGCGTCAGCTGTACACACAGCGATAAGGGAAAACAAGCTGAATCGTTTCAAGAAAAGACAGCTCTTTCACTACAATAAACAAACAAGAAACAACAAAAACCACTTTTCAGAGAAGTGACTGTGAGGAGTTGTTGGAGATGAAGCTGAGGGTCAGCTCCCAGCTCGCGAGGCCTTACCTCTGTGAATTTATGGAAGACGCGGTCACTCTGGTGAGCTCCAATGGTGACTTCTGGGAGATAGACAGGAATGGTTGTGTAATTCAGCACCTCCAACTTATTCTGAACCCTGAAACATAAGGCAAATACAAATCACACTACCCCATCAAAATAAGTATGATAAAATAAGCTATACGGGAGATATTTTAATACAACAATATTAAAAAATTCATACATTCCAGTAAAGGCCTTTCATTCCCCAGCAGTCACCTCGAAGCAAAGCTTTCACCCCAGAGACCATCTGGTCTGCATCGAGCTGCTCCTTGGAAGTGATTTTCAGAACCTTTCAAAAGCCTCGCCGGCCACAGATAACTACCTTTTAGGAATGTGGAGTTTGGAAACATGAAAAAGGAGCCATACATAGTGTGCTTCAAACACAGGAATAGCGGGAATAAAAAGCTCAAAACAAACACCATATATTACAGTGCCGTGCGCATAGGAGGCCCTCATGAAAAATTTGCAAAATTAATGAATCTTAGTAGAAGAAACAGCAAGTTAACTCTCGTCCCCCTAGGGTTACAACACAGCGTCTTGCCACAGAAGCTGAGGGATCCAGGAGCAAAAGCCGACAGGGCTACATGGAACTCAAGGGCAGGGCAAGGGGGTGGGGGCGAACTCCCACACAGGACAGCCCGCACCCCACCTAGAAAAGGTCTAACACTCTGCTTCTCTTGGCACCAATAAACACAAATCACAGGATACTCTCCTTGTTTCACCATTTTATTTTGCTGAATGCTAAAATATTTATACTTTGTTACAATTTGCCTACTTTAAATTTAGTCTGAATATAAGCACTATACTTGAAGATGAAAAAGCATTTTGGGGCCTTTTAGAAAGAAATATTAAAATAAATCCTCCTTTCTTAAGGGCTCAAAACAAAGAAAATAATTATTTTAAATGGCCACTTTCCCATTAATGAGTTATAATGGCAGAAGACGTTTCTGTTTGTAATGGCCCAAATGGAAGTTCTTTAAACGTGTCTGGCTCTCAGCCCCTCTGAGAGTCCAGGCCCACGCACGCCCCGGGCCGTTCCCCTCAGCACTCTGCGCAGACTCTGCCAGTCAGAACAGCCCGACTGGAACCCCAGGCCCAGGCGTTCCTCAGCCCCTCTCCTGCAGAGGACCGTGGGGCACTGAGAACCCGCGGCAGTTGAACATGAGCAGACGGCGGGTATAGGCACACCCTGAGTCTTTCCTGTAAAACCCACATCACTTGTACAACTAATAATCCAAAATCACTCCAAGGAAACGCGGCCAGGATAAGTGGGTTTGCTCCCTGAGTGTTACATGTGGACTTCCATGTTGGCAAATATGCCAACGGCTGTAACGTACAGACGCAGATGAGAAGTGTTTCTTGGTTCTAACAGTAAGTTGGTTATATAATCTATGTTTCATAAGCGTGTGTCAATAATGTAAAGTACACCCTTTTATTTTTAACACAAATAGGATTAGTCTATACTTACTACTATATAAGGATAGTTTTTTAAAGTGATCTCACAATAAACAATTTCAACTGAAAATGAAGTTCATATTTTTAAATGTTAACAGGTATCAAGGTTGGGTATGATTTGGTTTTCTCTATAGTTTGAAACCTAAAAAAAAATCTGGAAAATCCAAAGAACTCCTGGCCTGGGAACTTGTACGGAATCACAGAGCAACAGCGCCATCTATGTTTAATCTGGAGGAATTACAGTTTACACATAATCCCCTAAAAGGGCTTCAAATGCTTGGAAGATCAAAACAATAATGTGCTGTAACTGTTCTAGTTATTTAGACCTGGCTAACCTGCGCTGTCCATGTATCGCCATGTGCTTCAAGGACGACTGCCAAGAAGAGCCCGCAGCACCTGACCTTCAGTAAACCCCAAGTCCCACCCTCTAATAAACCCGATATGGTCTAGAGTGAAGATACGGACGGAATGAAGACAACAGGAAGCCTTTATGACTCAGAAAGCAAAAAGCAGTGAAAGAAAACATTCTGTTCACAGAGCACTTAGTGTAATTTAGGAGAATTCAAAAACTGACTGAGAATAATACATCCTCTTAACATCATAAGCCAAAGTGCCCAAATAAGAAGATAAAATGTAGGAGAGTTTGGTTTACAACATGAAGTGCTGTGCCACACATTTTAAAACAAAAGAGTGAGGCAGGAAAAGACAGAAAGAAATAAAATCATAAATTATGTTTTATGACTCAAACTGTTTCCCAATTAACAGAATGTCTATACTTTCTCCTGAAACACGTCCAAAGCATATTTTTTAGTTTCTCCTGAATTGCAAAGTTCTGTCTGAAATGCTCTCCTTCTGATACCAAACTCATCCCCTACAGTTTTTATAGCACTGGAATTTCACATTAGAAAGACATTCTGCAGGAGTTAGAGAAGACAGAAGTCTCAGCGAGGAAGCACGCGAGGGCACGTGGGAAGGCCCAGACCCTGGAAGAGCAGGAGGAAGGGGGCTCAGAGCCCTCCTGGCAATCAGTCACCAATCCAGGAATGAAACCAGGGCGGGCGCCAGGAAGTCACGGATCATGGAGACGAACGCCAAATGCTATCAAGGCTGAAAAATACAGTTACTGTCTCCTAGCATAAGCAGACACACACACATAATTATACACCGGCACACACAACTGAGATGGTACACAAATGCTCTACACCAGTAATTTGGTAAGGTTCTGGACAAAATGAGTATGACTGGTAAATGGCATGTTTACAATAATTATCTTAGAAAATTGGTCATAATTTTCACTTGAGTTCCCCAAATTAAGAAATGGTACTCAAATGAAAATTAACACAATTACCATTGTTTAGTGGTTATGACATATCCTTGGGGGACACAGGAGAAGAAAGCTGGGAGACGGAAAGGACAAGACCATACAGTAAACTAAATTGAAACAATTAATTGAATGCTGTAATTGGTCAACTTTGCAGGAATTATAGGATCTTTATGCTCCAATAACCACACAACTAAGTATGTACTAATATAACAATTTTAAGACATGAATTTTGGACATGGTCTAGAATCAAGATAACACACGTTCCAGTAAACGTTTGGAAAACGACACTGTGTTACCCACGGAAGGAGGTGAAAAGTCCTCCCACTCTGCCTGGTCTCAGGGGGATGTTAGGAGAGTCACCTTTTCTTACATGATATCTCACATATTCTGCCCAGCAGCAGTCAATACTAACAAGAATCACGTGTAAATCTATATAAAACCAACGCCTGGAAAAGTTAAGAAAATGTTTCAAGGTAAAAAAAGAGGTAAATACAACCAGGCTTCGAAGAATGCTCAGATGTTTAGACAATTACCGGGCAGGTGGGAGAGGTAATGGATTCAGGAGGTTGTGGGCATCCTGATGGAGGAGGCAGAACCAAATGGTTAGGACTCTGAATTAATTCTAGGAAATGAAATTTGGATTCGTGACTAAACAAAGATACACCACTGAAGGATTCTGAGTAAAAAGAAAATAGGGTCACTGTGACATTTTTATGAAAATCAACCTGGTAGGTGTGTGTACAAGGGATGGGCAGGAAGAAATTACTGACCATAGGAATAGTGATCAAGAATGAGGGAATCAAACTCCAAAGGCAGCAGCAATAAGAGAAAAAGATAAGGGAGAGAAATCATTGGAGATGAACACACTGACCTTAGCGTGGGACTCGGGAAGGTACAGGGGTCAGTAGAGAAAAGGAGGGTTCCAGCAGGATGATGGTTGAATGAGGAGGTGATGGTCCCACCAGAATTCAAGCCTGAGCAAGTGAGAGGAGGGAAGGCAAGATGGTAGCAGGGAGGGTGCCCTCGAGCCAGAAGGCCACGCCTCCTGGAATCACGTGACACCATGTCATGTGACCATGGCGAGCCAGAGCTCTCTGTGCCGGGGTTTCCTGACCTGTAAAATTAGGGGAGCCCTGACCCAGCAGGAGTGCTGTGGAATCAAGAAACGTTTCTGAAACATCTTCCAGATACACTTATGTATAACTATGATCAAGGTTAACAGTTTGAGATTTCTGACCCAGAGGCAGAACACTACACAGTAGTTAAAAGAAAGGATACAGGTTTTTAAAGAACGTTCAGAATGACGCAGTACATAATACCATTTAGGTAAGTTTACAAAAACTTATACACACGTAAGCATCGAGACAAAAAATAAAGTTAACTACAGAGTTTTAAAAAATAAAGAGGGACTTTCAGTTTCAGCTCCAACAAGAAAACAGCTTGGAAGCTGTCACTCTTGTCCTTACAACAAAAGAAAAGATGAAAAAACTGAAAATCAATTACTTGTCCTGGAATAACAGTCCAACGTATTGGGTGGTTAGAGCATAAAGTGGAGTGGATGTCAGCAAAGCCACAGGGCAGGAGGAGGACCCGGGACACCCTACTCTCAGGTATCTGCACTGCCCACGGAGCAGCAGGGCCATCTGAAAGCAGACTTAGATGAACTATAAATGTAGACGGAAAATACAGTAAAAACAAGAAAATTTTACAAAGTACAACTGATATGCTAAGAGAAGAGAAAATGCAATCACATAGAATGCTCCATTAAAACCAGAGAAGGCAGGAAAAGAAAACAAAGAAAAACGCAACAAGTAGAAAATAGTGAGAAACATGGTAAAAATCAGTCCAAATATGTCAATACTCATTTTAAATGTGAACTGTTCAAATATACCAACTAAAAGATAAGAGACTGTCATAGTAGATAAAAAAAAAACAAGACCCAACTGTATGTTGTCTACAAGAAGGCCGCTTCAAATACAAAGACTCAGGCTCAAAGTAAAGGGATGCAGAAAGACATACTATCATGCCTACACTAATCAAACACTGGGATAGATAGATTAGCTTCAGACAAAGCAGGCTTCAGAACAAGAAAAATGATCAGGGATAGAGATGGGCATTACATAACGATAAAGGGTCAATTTCCCAAGAAGACAACAATCTTAAACATGTATGTACCTAACAACAGAGTGTCAAAATACATAAGGCAAAAACAAACAAAAGTCAAAGGAGAAAGACAAATCTGCTACTGCAGCTGAAGACTTCAATGCCCCTCCTTCAGCAACTGGTAGATCCCGCAG